GTTGTTTCTGACTCTAGTGGGTGGTGCTCATCTCCGTTTCAAAGCCAAAGAGCCAGCGCTGTCCAAAGACGTCTCCATGGTCATGTGGCCGGCATGACTAAACACCAAAGGCACATGGAACGCTGTTACTTCCCACCACAGGTGGTTCCTATTTTTCTACTTGCATTTTTACATGCTTTAGAACTGCTAGGTTGGCAGAAGCTGGGACAAGTAACGGGAGCTCACTCAGTTACACAACAGGGCACTAGGGATTAAAACTGCCGAACTTTCTGATCGACATGCTCAGTGCCTTAGCCACTGAGCCACTGTGTCTTAGGCACTAGTACTGATATTGAAGTTTAACTTAAGGTCTGACCACCCGAGGAACCACTGCTTCCATTATGAATCTGCCTCACCAAGATCTACAGAAGAGCCCTTTCTAAACATGCTTCCACTGCCCAATGTTTGCTTACCTGGCAGATGGGAGATGACTTTCTCTTTTACTACTCCCAGACTGGAATACATACATCCTAAGGGTGTTCTTGAATACCCACTTTTCCTTTAAAAAGTCTAGAAAAATGTACCTTTTGATTGACTTTGATTATAATTTTAGTTTTTTGGGTTCTTTATTTTACAGAATCATAGTTGGAAGGGATGATTTAGGTCTGCGAGTTCAATCTATTTTCAGTGTAAGAACCTGTATTAAAGTATACCAGCAGATGGCTGTTTAATCTCTGCTTGAATATGCCAGTGAAAGGGAGCCTAACATCTAATGTAAGGGATTTTTTTTCTAACATTCATTTGGAATCTGCTTTCTTCTAACTGAAACCTGTGCCTGCTCACTAGTACAAGAGAGAATATGCTGTGATTTCGATGTGACATCCTTCTCAGTATATCTGAAAAATACTTATTATCCAGCCCTCCATTGTAATTTCTCAAGGTTAAACATATTCGGTTCTTTTTATTTTTCTTCGCAGAATTTAGTTTTTAGTCCTCCCATCATCCTTATCGCCCTTTTCTGATCCTGTTTTAATTTTTTCTGAATACTTAAATCAAATCATACATAGTATGTGATTATGAAGTGGAATGATTACTTCCTAAACTTATACCGTACAATTATATTTGTCTTTTTAGCATTTGCCCCACTGCTGGCTTATCTTGTTTGCAGCCAATTACTTTCTCCCCCACTAAGTACAAACACCAAGCCATATACTCCCTTTTCAGTACTTGGATATTTGATTTTTTTTCCTTCCATGAAGAACTCTATATTTATCTGATAAAATTCATTGTTATTTTTGGTCTTTTTTAATGCTACAAAGATTATTTTTATTTTTATCTTCTAGGACAGAGTTCCCCAATGTTTCCGGCTTTGCGGACTGGTGGGGGTGGTGGTTTCTCTGGGGGAATAACAGACAAGCACACACACTCACAGCGCCATTTGTATGAGTGGCATGCATGCATGCCTGCCACTCACACAAATGAGGATATGCCATGCACTTGACAGCCATTTCTGTGGCCTGGTTGTAATCCTCTCACGGCCAATTAGTGGGTTGTGGCCCACAGGTTGGGGACCATTCTAGAATATTAAAAATCCCATCCTATTTTGTATCATTTGATAAACATTTCTTCTATTTTTAAAACCAAAATAATTAATAAAAATATTTAAACATAGTCTATTGAGAACAGGTCCTTGTGGAAGCACACCCAAAACGTTTTCCCTGTTTGATGAAAACCACAGATATTCTCTATACATTTATACAAGACAGGCTATTCCTTTATTATAGTCACGCTATATTATGTCTAATGCATTCCATGTTTTTTTTAGAAAGTTAATAGATGAAAAATTAAAATAATTTTGCAAGATTTGTTCTTGACAAACTGGAACACTTATTTGATAATGCTATTTTCAGTGTTTAATGTTTCCAGAACATTTTTCTCCAGAATATTTCCAGGCATTGTTGTTGGACTATTGCCCTGTAGCTCATGGGTCTTCCCACTTTTTTTTTTTTTAAAGACAGGAATATTGGTTGGGTTTTAATCACTGGGCTTTCCGTAGTTCTCCAGAATTCAGACAATTTAGTTTAGCTCAGTACAATAAAAAAGTAAACATCTGAGCAATTCTCCCCTTACTGAAAATGTTCCTTGATGGAACTCTAATCAGTAACTCCAATTGCTTCACCATCTCCCTGAGAAAAAATGGGAACAATCTGAATGTAAAAATATTCATGCTTTGCTGTGGTTTGTATATAGCAAGAACATCAAGAATGACAGAAATCCCCCTCCACCCGCCAACTAGGTACAAAACACACGGTCGCTTAGCCTTATAATTTGTTTTAAAGGAAATAAGCTGTCAACTCACAAGGAGGCCAAATGTCAGCTTGTAGCGAAGTAAAAAAAAGTGGGAGAGTTAATCTCACAGAAGAGAAGAAATGAAGATTATTCTACCACTGGATATTTAATTGGAGGTTGACAGAAGAACATGAATATTTGCCTCCACAGGAAAAATGATATAAGAGTCAGGCTCAGAGGTTTAGTTTTAGAGGATCTGTAATGCAGGAAGTCAGTAAGATTAAGATATAAAAATATCATTATTATTGGCAAGCTTATCTCATTTTTTTAAGGGAGACTGTGCTAATCCAATGTATCTAGAGGGCAAAAGGTAGAAAGGATCATGCTCGACACAGGCACCTCCTTTAGGAAGTCAGAGAAAGCCTGTTCTCAGTTGCTGGCATTTCTTTTTTTAAAGAGTTCACTTAAAGTGCTGGCTAGATATGTCTGAATCTCGTCGGAACTGAAAAGCAACCACAGGAGTTTGGTGTTTTGTAACCAATGAAAGAGCTGATGAATATGCAAAGAAGAGAAAAGGTGCAGTGAAGCTTCTTGAGGACAGAAAACATTCAACAAAGCAGAAGTGAATCTCTTGAAATTAGATAGCAAGAAACATGGGCTGAAAACCATATTAGCAAAGGAACACTCCTTACCTGATCCACCTGGCTTAGATACTAAAATTGAAAATGTTGGCTGTGCTAATCTTTGATTGACAACAGAACTCTAAGCCTTGATGGACACCAGGACGCTTCCTATCTAGGCAGGAAGAGATACAACGATGTTCTCATCCAGCATTTCCTATTCTTTTAATCTTTTAAACACTCATCTATGCCAAGATTTTAAAATCAAGGGTGTGTATTTAATGCCAATCTTTCAAAGAATACAAATCTTCAACCACATCCTAAGGACATACCAAGAGCTCATGGGTATTGTCTAATACCACGTTATATTATTTCTAATCAATCCCACATACCAGACTAGATAAAAAGAGCTGTGTGTGTGTCTACATAATAAAGTTAACCTGAAATAGTTTCTGAATGAAATAAATTTTCCTATCACTACATAATCTCAGCTTTCAAGACATAAAACAGGAACCAGGGAAGCAGTCTGGGAGTAAGCAGTTAAAAATTTATATGATGATTGAAATGATCATTTTTTTTAAAAAAAAAAAATCCATTTGCTTCCCTCAGTTATTCTGAAATAGCCTCTGGCTTTCTTACAAGCAGAAAAAAAGCTAGAATAGTTAAAACCAAAGGAATACTTAGTTTGATATTCAATTTCTCGCAGAGGCCAAATATTTATTTTTGGCCATTTTAAAAGAAGATTCTGAAGGTAACCAGACTTTCCAACCTTTTATATCCACCAGAAAGTAGAGTGGTGGCCCTGGTTTAAGCTGAATGGAAATTATGGGTGCTAGATCTCCCCGTGGAGATTCGTACCCTCACCACCGTCCAGACCTTCCGCACAGCCCTCAAGACCTGGCTATCCCGTCAGGCCTGGGGATAAGATCACAATCTGTCCCCACCCGAATGAAGAATGAATGTTGTGTACTATTTTACTCTTATGTATTGTTTTATGTTTATTGTTTATACCCCCCCTCCCTATTTTATGTAAGCCGCCCTGAGTCCCCGCAGGGAAAAGGGCGGCCTATAAATATTAATAAAATATCAAAAAAAAAATCAAAATAGATATCTGGAAGGCTCCGATTTCCTTATATTTTCCAAGATTTTATATTTTTTCCAAAGGCATCTGGTCTGGAACAAATACTTAACTAGTAGAGAAAACATGAGTATTTAAAAAAAAAAAAAAAAAAACCCAAACTTTTCAAATTGCCTAATTTCTAATTTTGTCTGTTGACACTTTTCACATGTGAATTTAATCACCTTGTCCCAAGTATTGATTCATACTAGTTCCTCAGCAAATTATGGTTTCCAAAGTCCACCATCAAGGAAATATCACCTGCATTTCCAGGAAATTTACAACATTATTCCCAAACTGGATGGATAAATATTTCCATGATTTTCAATCAACAGATTATGAATTATGGTATTTCTGGTGAAACATACCATGTTGTACAAGGTTGGTTTACAGGAATAGGAAGTTTAGAGTTTATCTGAGACCTATGCTTCCTATTGTTTTATGACACAAAATGTGGAGTGCTGTGCCTAGTGTTTTATTATGTTTTATAAGTGGGCACTAATAATCTACTTGCAAGTAGCTCAGTAACGGTGACCATGACATGGCATAATATTTTAGGTGATATGCCAGCATTTACCAACATTCAACAATTATTCTCAAAAGCACACTTTGTTCTTGTGTGATTTTCAGGGTCTGTGGAGGCTGCAAGAGTGTGGTCTTGCACAGCCTCCAGAAGTTGCGTGAGAGGGCCATGCTCTCATGCAGCCTCCAGACCCTCTAAAAAACACAAAACAATGGGTGTACTTTTGCTTTTCAAAGGCTTTTTTCCCCCATCCACAAAAAACCCTGCAGAGGCCATGGAAGAGCATCCTCTGAAACCATTTCAAGATGGAAGGCTTTATATGACCTGGAGCTGCCTTTGTGTAACCTAAGCCACAGCAACATATATAATTCTCAAATGATGTACAGCAGAAAAGAAGTATATGATTAGAATAAATCACTATTTAAAGCACACAGCCCAATACATATCTACAATATCCAGTAAAATCACATACTTGCATTTTTTTGACTTTGCGTTTCCCAAAAATACAGGATAGGTCATCTTCACTTCGTGAAGAGAGATCTTTTCCTGGATAGAATTGCAGGAAAAAACAAAACAATTTATTGCTTTCTTATAGAATAAAGTTAGATCAATGCTCTTGAAGAAGAAAATTATATTTTCTCTGTTTGATTCATTTCAATGAGGCTTAAACCAGAAAAAATTCTCCTAGATGTTGTTGGAGGAAACACTGAAAAATTGCTTCCTTTAAGTAAAAGCTGCAATGTGCATCAAAACCAACTGCATTCAATATCCTACAGGTACCAACACAATGCCTCAGCTTCAAATTTAACCCTTTCTATGCTACTCATTCTCCATAAATATTCTAATTCTTAACAATATTTTGATATATTTAAATATATTTTTTCAGGTGGTTATTGTACTGATCTCATTAGGAACATTTTAATGAATTTTTTCATGTAACAGGTTTCATTTACTAGTAGTTTCATTTGAATTTACCTTTGGCAAATTTCACATAGTGAACACGTTTTTTAGAGATCTTGGATTTTTCTTCAAGGTTAAAAGTTTTCTTTCTATTTTTGTAAGTAGATTCTAGAATACAAAAAGAAAATTACATGAGGCCAAAATCTATAGTCCTCCTGAAATACTAAATTCCAATGTAGAACATCCCCTTGGTATTTCTTGTTTTCCCTGTGCATCTTTACCGATTCTTACAATAACAATAGCTTGCTCCCAGCTTCTACTCTTAAAGTGAGTTTCTCAAATTATAAGTCTTGCTTCAAGTTCCAGCAGTGGATATAACATGTGTAAGAGATTTGTGTTCTTCTTGGCCCTGTTGCCAATCAGCCAGGTAATGGACAATTCAGTTTTTCTTTAGATTACTATAAACAGGAAGAACATGTGCTGAAGAACGGCAGCTTTTTCTCTTTCTGTCATGATGTGAGATGTTCTTTCAGGCTTCAGAAATGTGTGTGAACGGGCACTAAGATCAAAGGCATTTCAAATATTAAAAGCCAAATTCAGATGAAAAGTGATCTTGATGTAAAGAAGGTCTGCATCAAAATGAGGATCTCAAAAGGATCATTCCTCCAGACTACAAGCAACTACAAGCATCACTCTTTTGGTAAAACTATAAACAGGATGTGAGAGTAATGCCCCCTCATCCAAAGTTCATAACCCCAATCCCACAAAATTTGAACGTTCGGCAAGTCTGATAGGAAAGGAGATGGCTTTGATTTCACATGCTTGCTCTCAAACAGCAATAGTGACCTCATGTGGCCAACATACTGTAATTTTATATTAAGATTTTCAATACCAGTTACTCTCAAAATTGAATTATGTTACCTGGGTCATCTTGTGTATAATTGTTATTCAACTCTGCCAAAAGCTGGTTGAAATCATCTTGGTGAGCAATCCAGTTATCCTGCACCCAACACACAAACCAAATGATTACAATCTAAACTGATCAGTAATGAGGGAAAGATGACAAAAAGGGCATGCCTCCTCTATGTTCTACTGATTCAAATTTAGACTACCAAATCAGTTGTCATGAATTTGAGTTTGATATACAAACCATGATCTATACTCCCAAATAAACAAGAAGAGTCATAATTCAAAGCTGCTTTAATTTGTGGTTCACTACATTCTACACATCCTTGATGTGATATAGCAGCCTCCAGAAGCTTTGGGGTTTAGCAGTTCAGAGAACTAAGAGCAGCACTTGGAACTAAAGCTTGCAATGATGATTTGATGGCTAAATATAAACTATATTTATAATTTTATACATGTACAAATTGTAGCACTTCCATTTCAACGTTGATTTAATGTGTGAACTGAACAGTTTGCACTAAAATTATCAACATTCTAAATCATTATAAACAGCCAACTAATTCAGTCCCATATGAAAATATTTATGTCAAACCAAACAAAAATGCAAAAAAATTCTGTGTTTCCAAATCAAATAAACTTTACATCTGCTAAATTTGTAGACTTAATTCTATTTCTGTAAAACCTAATACAAATCCTGATTTGTGTGTGTGTGTGTGTGTGTGTGTGTGTGTGCTTCAGCTTCAATTCTATTACCTCCACTTACCTCTTGGCTCACAGATGCTCCCAATCCCAATGTGTTGTTCTTCACCTGAACCTTAATATGCTCTGTGCTGCCTTGTTCTTGAGCCCCAAGCCCCTGGTGGAAACAAATGAGAAACAGATATGTCTTGGAGAACTTCAATTGTTGTAGTGTGTAGAAGGGCATCTATTTTTCATTGTGTTGCATTTTTTTCAATCTAGTTATTCTCAACAGGTTGAAATAATTAGAAAACAAAACAAACCTCATGCATACTACAACTAGCAATCAGAAATCAACCATTCATACTTGCAGAGAAAGGGAAGAGAGTCCCTGAGGTTGCTCCTTTTGTACGAGATGGAAGGCTTCTCTTACTAATCTGAAAACTCTTGAGGTATAACTTCTCAATGATTCTTGATTCTTAGGCAACAAATGGGTCTAAAAAGTGCTTCTGCTTGCATCAGCTTTGCACTCATTAGGCAGTACAAATATAAGAATTTAACTGGGACAACTTTCCTGTAATGAAAGTCCAAGTTGAGGCACATCTTCAAGATTTAACAACTGGATTCAGCATAGTGGCTTCAGGAAATTTATCAAGAATCCTTATGCCAAGGGAAATCAGTTTCCATTAAACTTTAGATTTTATTTAAAAAGTAATTTGTTCCAGATCCTTGTTAGGAAGGCCAAGGAGGCATATGATCCTCATTTAATTTCTTATTCTGGCAACTTTTACAATACTTATTTTATTTTATAAACATTTTATTCTCTAATGAACCTTGAAAATACCAAAGAAAACTTAAGCAACTATTTTCAACCATACAAATTTACCTTGCCTTTTGACCATCCCATTTTTTCCAACATCTTCTGGCCAAATTTTGATTCATCTTTACTCCAAGTACTGTTCCGGGGATCCACAGACCATTTCAGTTTGTGACGTGCTACAAGAGAAAATGAAGTGAAATCTAGTGATATTTTCAAAAGTGAAATAGGAAGGCTTTCTTCTTCACAATTAGTGCTTCTCCTAACCAAAGTACTTTTTCTGTAAAGATTTTTAAAGAACATTTTAAGGAATGAGTACACTGGGAATCTCAAAAATCAAGCAGGATGATTGACAAATCATTTTAAACATTTTACTGACAAATGCTTAATGAGCTAATATCATATTCAAGTCTGCCATTTTGTAGTAATTTTGTGACTCTCTATGTTCACAATTCATTTGCAGCATTCCTTAAATCTGTTCAGAGAAAGGAAAAATGATTGATGAAGAATAAGGAACAGGAAATAAGAATTGCTGCTGATAAATAGTAATAATTGAAATGTATATTATGGTTCTGATCTCAAACACTAATTCAGTGTTGACTAACTTAGCATTTTTATTTATTTATACAATTTATATGCTCTTTATTGAGATATTAGGCATCTTACAAAATATAAAAAGATAATTTGGAAACAATTAAATTAACATGGAATAGAAATTAAAAATCAAGAGGATGAATGGCATAGGGGTGGGGTGTTGTTTGTACTACATCAGCCACTCACAGTGTAGGACCCCAGGCCAGTTGGAAATGTGAGTTTTTAAGATCCTTCTGGAAGGCCAAAAGGTTGGGGTGGATCTTATTTCCGGCAGCAGAAATTTCAAAAAGGTGGGAGCCTTTTCTCCTGGATGTCAACATTTCCAAAGGGTGGGAAACCTTTTCTCCTGGATGTCACCAGCCAAAATTTATTGGCAGTTGGCGTCTGTAGCAAGCCTCTTTTGCTGGAGTGGGTGGGATGGCCAATCCCATTGGGGTGAGATGACTCTTCAGATACCTTCTTTGATTCCAGATATTGCATTGACTAATATCGCAGCACTGCCCACTTGTTTACTGATAAATCTGACAACAGCATTTAATGTGAGTTTCTCTCTAGTTTCCTCTATAATCCCCTTGAAGTACTTTTTATGGCTTCCTCAAACTCAAGCCTTTTAAAATGTTTGTTGGGTACTTAGAAGCAAGTTACAACGTTAAAGCTTCCCTCACTCCTATCTCAATATTGTTTTTAACTCCTCTGATACCTTTTTTTTGGGGGGGGGGCAGCCTAAGCACTTGAAGTGGTTTTAAAAAGGATTTGCTTAAACACACAGCAGAGGAATCTACATTACGTTCTGTAGCTATGAAAATCTGGACGGCCATTAAATGAAGCAAAGATGGAAATAACTCTGTGCCATAACCTAGTCGTCCTACGGGCAGGAATACCGCTTTAGATCTTCGCAGAAGATGGAACAGGGTTGAAAGCGACCTTGGAGGTCTTTTAGTCCAACCCCCCCCCTCAAAAAAACCCCAAAGATTTGGAGACTGAATGCTTTTGAAACCTAGAGGGAGAAAAAAAATATCGAAGCAGCTGCCATTCTCATGCGTTGCTTATGGGCATCATATATCTGCCTAATCGTCCCATACTGGAAGGAAGATTTTGGCTGGATAGAGGTTTCAATCTCACTTTATCATAGCTCCTCTACCCAAATCACTGACCCCTCATAACGATCCCTGGCATATACGAAGCGGGGAGTGGGTTGCCAGTTTCGCCGCCATACCTCGCGCTATTTTCTACCTGCTCCGTTTCAACCGGCTTCATACTCACGTTCCGCCAGCATCGCCATCTTGCGGGAAAAGAGGGGACCTTTCCCTACTTCGGGCGCGCAATGACGTCCGTGACCGCCGCTTTATAGGCGTCTAACCTAAATGCCCGATAAAAGAAGGCGAAGAAAAGAAAAAGCGAGAGGACTTTTCGTAAAAAGATAATTCCGGTAGGTAAATCGGAAGGAGTGGCCAAAAAACCCAAAAGCAATGTTTATTCCAGGTGTCTCCAAACTTGGCAACTTTAAGACTTGTGGACTTCAACTCCCAGAATTCTCCAGCCAGCTGCTGAAGAATTCTCCTAGAAATCTGGGAGTTGAAGTCCACAAGTCTTAAAGTTGCCAAGTTTGGGGACCTTTGGTTTGTTCCTTCTTTGATTAGGCCGCAGAACAGATGATCTCAACCCAAGACTACATTAAGATCTCTAATTTTCCCTGTAATTGATATCGAAAGGCGCAACTTCCCGACGTTGAAATCCACATAAGGACAAGTCCGCTATTTGTGCCTTTGAAGTTCCCAAGCAAGAGAAGCTTTCTATCGTTTGTACATCTGCAATCTTTGAAATATCAATGCTTCCATAAAGTGTAATGAAAATGAAATATTAAAATAGTGCAATAAGACAACTAGCACAAATAAACCAGTCATGACAATTTGTGTGTGTGTGACTTTCAGTCAGTGATAACTCCTGGCGACTGCCTGGGCAAGCCACCTTTTTGGGAAAGATTTCAGAAAGTGGATTGCCATTGAGAGAGAGTGAGTTTAGGGTCACCCAGCTGGATTTGTACCCAAAGAGGGATTAGAACTGATGGCTTTCTCCTTGTCCCACCACTACACCAATCTGGTTCTATTAATGAAAATTATAGCTTAATAAGTACGATATTGGGAGATTTTAAAAGCATTGATTAATGGGAGTCACATTCACCCATGGAGAAAGAATCCAATAGGTGAGTCAGAAGGCAAGGACAGACAGACGGAGAATTACTCAACTTCTGGGCAGGTTGCTATGAAGCTAGGCCAGAACCTGCAGACTACTATAGTTAGTCTTACACTCATGATCACCATTGAGCCCAAAATTTCTGTTGCTAAGTGAGACATTTGTTAAGTGGCTTTGCCCCATTTTACGACATTTCTTGCCATAGTTAAGTGAATCACAGCAGTTGTTAAGTTATTTACAAAGATGTTAAGTGAATCTGGCTTCTCCATTGACTTTGCTTGTCAGCAGGTCGCACAACAGGATCATATGACCCTGGGACATTGGAACTGTCATAGCTATCAGTTGCCAAGCGTCTGAATTTTGATCATGTGACCATGGGATGCTGCAACAGTTGGAAGTGGATGGCAGCAAAGCACCACAGCATTATTTCTCAACTTTGGCAACTTTAAGATGAATGAACTTCAACTCCCCAAAATTCTCAGCCAGGGAACTGCTCTAGAGTTTTTGCACTCAATTTGCAGGTGAGATGTGGTGCCCCTCTTGCCAGAAGTCAAAGACTTGTCATAAAATAAATCAAAATCAAAACCCAGTTGTTCTCTTCTCACAGACTAAAAAGTCTCTTGTCTGCTGGTGCGATTTGCCCAAAAGACAGAGTGAAGGGGAAGTCCATTCAACCACTAACTCATGGCACTTTTTTTTTAAAAAAAACCACAACAACCCCAAATCCCAAACCTCAGTTTACATACAAAACAGCCTCAGGTATGTGAGATTCCAAGTCATAATCAGCTTTTGCATCACTCAGTTAGATTTGTTCCTCCCAGTAGTGCTTCTGCTACCCAGATTCCCCAAACACCTTTTTTTTAAAAATTAAAATGGATGCTTTGTGTTTGGAGAGTTTCTTTTCTAGAAAGAAGACACATAGTATAGCCTTTTCCTTATCTCTAAAGTAGGATGTAAATAGATTTTAGATCATTAGAAATAACCATAGATATATACATACTAAAGCAACAATTCAGCTTGCAAATATATGTGCAGTTAGAAACATATTCAATTATGATATTCCATAGGAAAAAGGGGAAAAAAGTACTTACTACAAGACACTTAAAAAGTCAAGCTGCGGTCATTTCAGGAGGTGAAGAGAAAAAGCAATGGACATTTGTTAATGTAAATTCTGCTTGCAGAGCTGGTCTGGGAAAAATAAAATGAACTAATACTTAGATTTGATATATGTTTTTCATAAATAATCCAAAAGAATTGCTTTTGTACTGCATCTTTCACCAAATCCTATGAATTTCCTGGAAATCCTTGTTATGCTAGAGATGGAAGAGAGGACAGGTTGAGATGGGAAATCTTTGTGAATTTTGTTCAATGCTCCACATAAGGATTGGCTTACATCAAATGGTTAAGATAAGTAATGTTTCTTATTTATCTTTCCAATACATACAATAAGGAAGAGACAAAATTAAGAATAAAAAGAAAAAAAATGTGAGATTACCCTAGGCAGTAAAAGTTAATAGGAATTTATCATAGCTCTCCGTAACAGTTCCATACTTGCATTTGAATAAATAAACTATATAAATCTTTCACGTGTTTTATTCTCAGTCTCAGAATGTTTGTAGTTTCCCTTCAGTCAAGACTGCAATTAAGTATAGAAATTTCTAGCGTGAAGAACCATTTTTTCACATTAAAGGCAGGTTGGGGGTGGGGTAACGAGAGACTGCTCTGTTTCTAACTATCCTACTATGGATTTTGGAATAAAATATTTTGAGACTCAACTTGTATTTTGTTGCCATATGGAGAAAAAGTATTAAGTCAGAACCATTACTTGGGGAATGAGCTATGAATGCTTCCAGATGAAGCTTTTTATTGTACAATTGTTGTGCTTCATTTGAAGAACTTTATGGGACTCTTCAGACAAAATTGTTTTCCATTTATTTTCCCACTGTTTTCTCCATCTTTTTATCTTATAACAGAAGAAGAAGAGAAAAAAAAACCCATTAAGGAGAGAAATGCTGAATCAGTGCTCCATGCCTTTTGAATGGTAATTCACCCTCCCATTTGGCCCCAATTGTTACATATGCTGTACCTTTGTCCAAAGTTACAGACCTTCTTATAAGACAATAATAATCATAGTTTTAATTTCATTTTACACAAGAAGTAACTGCAACATAATGCAATGTTCTTATTCAGGTTTTCAATTTACCAACCATCAGAGTAGACAATTCCATCTTTCTTCCCAATTGTTTTTCAGTATAACTCCAACTATCCAATAACATTCTTTGTGCACTCAGCACATGATAGTTTTGGCCACATACCTGTCATGCTGCTTTCCTGGGGCTCATGTTCTGGATGTAAATGGCTCCCAAGACTCTTGAAACCAAATGAAAAATATATTTTTCCATTGAACTGTGTAAGAACAAATGACACACGTGGACACATCTTGAAGACATTGCAAGAGGCAATGAAACATTGGAGAGAGAATAAAGAAACAGAAAACAGAATAACAGAATTGGAGGTCTTCTAGTCCACCACCCTGCTTAGGCAGGAAACCCTACACCACTTCAGACAAATGGTTATCCAATATCTTCTTAAAAACGTCTAGTATTTTTAAGACATTGGGGCACAGATAATGTTTTCTTCACTTATTTATGGTTTGATGTGGTCCACAAAGAAAGAAAAAATACTGGAACAAATCAGTTGGCTACACAAATGGCTTCAGATAGTAGATGCTTTGTAATCTTCAATAATCAGATGTGTTTCCATGATGAAAGAACACACTTGCAAGATATGGGGTGTGTTGTGTAAAAACTGAGAAGAATGTATTTGAAATGTACCTTGCAAATCTGATTCAGATGAGTTTAAACTGAATCTTAGGAAGAGAAAAAAGAGACTCAAGGAATACTTAAATGCCAAGGATTGAGACTGGGATTGGAACCAATACATAGGATGTGGAGGTACTCAACAATGAGCCCATAAAAACAGGAAGATATCAGTAATGTTATATGACCCTAAGTTTTTAGTGTCTCTGTATGAGAACTGCTAACAAACAGGTAGAAGGTAGAATTAGAAGTCTAAATATAGGAAGGCTAATATGATATGGTGGTATAATAAAAACTTGTGGAGAAGAGAAATACATGAATGGAATGCAAAAACAGAAGGATACAACTAATTCAAAAGGTACAGGCTAAATAAAAGATGTGGAGTGGCATGAAAGGCAAAGGAAATGCAGATATGTGTACAGAACCAAGAATTTGAGAAGCCAGTCAAAAGTATTTAGATAAAAATACAATACAAGTAAGAAAAAGCAATAATAATATTATTGTGGGAGAAGTGCTGTAGACTGCCAAGCCAGGCAGAAGATCTAAGTATGCTCCTGGTGAAATTTCAAAGTTTTCAGAAAGGAGAGATGTACTAATAATGGGAAACTTCAATTACCTGTTGAAAAAGCAGCTCAGCCAATACTGCAAGTTCCCCAAATTAAAAGAAGAAATGGGGGCATGTTAAGAAAATATTATGATTGCAATAAGGATCATTCGACTGAACTAAGAATTAAACATATATAGAAAATAGTAGATATGTGCCACCAAAGATATATATTAGCAAGTAGCTATTATCTGCAAAAAGAAATTCAGAAAAGCTGAAATGAATGTATACTCAAGGGATACTAAAAGCAACAAAAGGGCATTTGGATTATGTTAGGAGGAAGAAGAAAAAGGAATGTGTAGCCCCAGTGCTTGGAGAAGACAGTAGGAAAAGTTTTACATCTCACTGCCTTTTGTGCATTGGTCTTCTCCATAATTCAGCTGGAAATAAGCAGAAGTACTAACACAAGAAGGGAGTGGTAACTTAAGGAAAGAGATTTTTAGGGAGCACTTGGCTGCCATGAAAGATTGTCTCCTAACCAATCAATTATATCAATGAGATATGAAAGAAATTGCAGAGCTCATATTGAAGCCCTTTTTGAAGTGGTGGGATTCAGCCAGTTCGCACTTATCCAGGAGACCCGGTTGTTAACTTTCTAAGCAGTTCAGAGAACCGGTTGTTGGAAGAAATCTTATTTTGTTTTTTTCCACTTTACAGGGCTAATCCTGTAAGGAAGACAGGAAGG